TCACCTTGGGACATCTTTAGTTATTAAATTTAATATTATATTTTCAGACAAGTGCCTAAGTTAATTAGCAGCATCTAGTTGCTTTAAAACCTCATTGCTTTGATGCAACAAAATCTGCTTGTTTTGACTGTTGAAAGGCTTAGGAAGGAGGGGAAAAATTGTGTTATTCAAGCAACACCCAAGTTTCTTTTCGTAGCGTGGAATTTGAGCAGGTTGACATTTCTATGGCCAAAGTCCATCTTTGGAAATCTGAGCAGCTGATAGCAAATGTACCGTACAGATTTGGGGCTTTGTTTTAGTTTGTCATTTGACAAAAATAGAATGGCTTAACTTTAGGAAACTTTTTAACAACACCGAGGTGAAAATGGACACTTGAAAAAAGGTATAAATTAAAGCATTTTGACTTCAAAGAACTATAGAGCTAGCTGTAGCAGCTGCTGCTTCATCTTTGTTTTCCTGCTTTGTAAGTGCCTAAATATGTGCAAATATGGCTTAAGAAGTATAAGAAGTAAATATTGTCCAAATTCTTGGTCAACCAATTAACAGCCCTACACTTAAAAAAAATAACTTGTACGGTTTACTTGAAAAAAAATCCTCRTAACAATTTGCACTAATGTTTGTTAAGTAAAATTAAATGCTACAAATTCATGTAATATTTTCTCATCGTTATCTAGTAAAAGTTATTAAGAATATAGTTAAAGATTTGTGAATAAATCAGGTACATTTTACTTAAATTGCTCAGTTAAAGATTGTAACATATACTTATTGCACAATATTGTAGCATGACACCTCACAGCTACAGAGAGAGGTGTAGCTCTTGTTGTAGTTCAATACTTCACCACCAGGTGGCGATTTTGAAGAACCTTTATTGGATTCTTCTTCATGAACAACACAGACAAAGTGAAACTCACAGGTCTTATTAATGACTAGGCCTACCACTCTCATCATGGTTACTTCTGCTGAATGGTTTAACACAAGTTAACAAATAATGAACACACAAATTAGAGTAACACAACAGACTAATCGCTGAAAGAACAATGTTAACCAATTCCCWAAAATGATTTAACAACAACAAACATGAATCCTACCCACAATCATATGCAGTCACATGACAAACAGCCAAACGCAGCAGAATGCTACAATATAAATTCCCTGACAACTAAATATYACCTACATTATGCCATCAAACTATTGTACACCAACAAATGTATTCAAGCAAAAGAAACTAGACAACTTATGTTTTATTTCGACCATGTCTTRTCCTCTCCTTGAAAAGTGAAGCAAAGGAATGAGGAGYAGCAGYTTTTGTGTGYGCRTGCRCCYTCAGTTTTAGCCCAAAAGAGTAGAAGTTACTTATTCATGTTTATGTGCTGTCCAGAAAAAGCACTTAAATATTACTGGTAAAATAACATTAGCATTTACTTTTTTGTACAGTAATATTGATATATAATATAATGTGTATTGTTTATTTAGTAAATTCTAGTAGTTTAGAGATTTTGATATTTTTAAATAAAATTTAAAAGAATAATTAAATAAATGTTACTACACCCAAAAGTTTGTTTTTTTCAGTGTATCTCTAACTGCTGCTGGAGAGGATTCCAAGTTCTTAGACTATCAGATCTATGACAGTCATCACGTTAGTTTGCCTTTTTCTTCCAGTTACTATCACCATGATGGTCAATTAACAGCTATCAAGCATATAAAATGCTCGCTAAGTGCATGTGCCCAAAGCATATGATTTTACTGACAGTGACTTGAAGTGTCACTACATCTCCTCTGGTAACATATTGGTGGCGTTCACAAGGCTCCCCATTACGCTGTGCAGTGATAGACACGCTCTGCAATGGTGTTGGAGGTGTCTGCATCGCACATCGTCTCCCTCGAGCGTGCCAGCTCCCTGGTGCCAGACAGGAGGAGGAGGAGGAGGAGGAGGAGGAGGAGGGGGTGAGAACGCTGTGAAGATGGAAGGGGAAAATAAAGATGAAGGCGCAGAAGAAACAGGTTGTCTGAGGGGTACGGTGGGGAGAGGGTGAAAAAGCAGGACAGAGTGTCTGAGGGAGGAGGAAAGGGCTTGTTGAGGGAGAACAAAAGGAGGTGAAGAAAGCAAAACAAGGCGGGACGATCGGTATTTACTGTGAGTTGGCTAAGTAAATCATTAAAAAAAAACACGGTCCTCATAGTTCGGTGGCTTCTTTGATCAACTACGTAAGGTGAAATTTCCATTCAAAGCGTTACGCGTAAACACAATGTCAAACAGAACTGCTCAAGAGTCAAGGATGAACAGGTCCGCACAGTGGAAGTGAAACCTGCCGTTGGCGGCCGTTCTTCTGGTCAGCCCGGGTCAACAGGGTCACGTTTGTAAGATGAAAGGAGAGGCTTCGGTTGGTTGATTCCAAAGGGGGTAGGGGTGGGGGGGAGGTCAGGAAGTGGCCCCCCAGCACAAACACCAGACTCATTGTTCAAGTTCAAGGTAACGCTGAATGGGGTTTTCATTCACTCGGCTCAGCCTGGCAGCCAGTGACGAGTCGGAGTTTCAAAAAAAAAAGAAAAGAAAAGAAAAGAAAAGGCTCGTAATTAGAGGAAAACATTGCCCTTGGCATCATCTGACGCTGGTGTCACGCTGTTATAATTGTAAACTAATTATGCCACTTTTATCTATTTAATTAGGAGGTTTTGACGCTGACTTGAGGGAGCGTTTCGAAAGAATTAGCTGTGAAATATCTCTTTCAGAACACGAGTTTAAAACGTGACCTGTGCTCAGGTGCCCCCACCCCACCCCCACCCAGACAATGAACAAGGTCACAGACGAAGGGTCAGGTGTCAGGGAGGCCGCCGACCCCTCACCCTCCCTCCTTTTCCCCTATGTTGTGTCTGCTCAGTCGTCAGCTCCTCATTAAGTCCTCACGGGGGGATTTCCTGTTCGCCTCCTTCACTTCCCCATTCCTGCTCAACCCCCCCCCCCCCAAAAAAAAAAAAAAAAAAAAAAAAACGGAGCGCCGTATTAGCTCTTTTAACAAAGCATGAATAATTAAACCCTTCGCAGTTTCTGTGCTGGCGACGTGAACGGACGGCTTAAAGGCTGTAACCGCACACTCGGAATGCAGGAGCTGTAGTCAGAGCAGTAAAGAACCGGCTAAAGAGCCAAAGCTTTGGGAAGTCGAGGCCTGTAATTGATAACTTTGTGCTCTCAATAAACTACTGTACAACACACACACGTACGCACACACACACACACACAGAGGGGCACATAATTCAGCGTCTGACTCACTCCCTTTAACAGAAAGTCAATAACAATACAGGAATGATTAATCAGTCTCTCCGTGGCCCCTCCCTCGCTGCTCACCACCTTCCACTCTCTCGTCTCAACCCCTCTCGCTCTCGCTCGGCTCGGTATCGATCTGAATGCATTTGCCTCCCATTTATCCGTTAGCATCCCTCCCCCCACCGTGCGTGCGCCGCCACGGCATTGAGCGGCCACAAAGAACCTTTTTACGCAGGAGTGTCGCGCACGCGCGAGCTCGCGCCGCAACACACACACCGAGCGAGGCGCGCCTCCGTCCGACTTGGAGGTGCTGCACTCAACTGGCAGCGCACCGAGGGATTTGGCCCGATTATTCTGGGCTGCAAATTAGTAGGGTCCATTTCACAGTGCAGGTGCAATGCATGTGTGTGTGTGTGTGTTTATACGTACACACACTCGCCTCGGGACAAAGCGGAGTTCTTCGGGGTTTTAACTGGCAGCCCCCTTCTTGCCATTCTGCTTGGTGGCACACAGGTTACCATGACACCAGACTGTTTTGTCTGCCCTTTGACCTCTTTAAGGGGTCCTGTGGTAAATCAGGCATTACACGTGAGGGGCAAGTAGAAGGGAGGAGAGGGATGTGGGGATGTGGGGCATTTCCTCTGTAAAGATGAAGCCCAAAAGGTTCCTCTATACATCCGCTTTGTAGCGAGCAGAAGGTGGGGAGCCTCTGAGAGGCTCGCAGCGAAACAAAGACACATGTGCACATGCAGGCATGGCAGCGCTCAGCGAGGGTAAATGAACCAGGCTGGAGCTCCCAGGAGGTGGGGAGTTATTATGCTCATTGTGCAGTCGGCCAGCTAAAGCTGTTCGGCTGCTTCTTTTGAAGTTATATTTATCAAGCCGGAGCAGGAGGCTTAGCGCTCCGAGCTGGTGCATTGCTTTGTCCACACTGCAAATTGCATGTGTGCACTCAAATAGCTCTGCATTTTTGTTATCCACCCCCCCTCCTTCTTCGTTTCTTTTCTTTCCGTCTTTCTTTTCTTTTCAGGATGTGAACACCTTCAAAAATGTTGATCCGAAGAATCTCGACCAATTAGATTCGGTGCCGCAGCTTTGCCTTCACCTTCGACTCCCGTCTTCCAGCAGCGAAACGCCGAAGCGATTCTGTCCGACGGCGTTAGGATCAGCACCCCTCGGTTGCTGATCAAGTTCAGATGGTGTTTGCAAATATCCAAACACAAATCTCAGGAAGCCAAACAAACCGAGTCAATGTTGCTTTAAAAATAGCGGAAAATTAAAATGTCAGCAGCTCAGCTGTGGAAATGGCTTTTAGCACGATTAATTCCTCTTCTTTATGTGTCATAATGCCATCTTTTATATAACGTTAACTGATTTTCTCCCTGTTATTAATTAAATTCTTTCAGTTAACATTCATATTATAGCCCCCATTTTATTCTCTTGTATTCATCTTTTTTTTTATAATGAAATGACGAGTTTAAAACATGTTCTTTTGTGTCGGAATGGCACAAAGAGCAGAAAGTGTGTAATTATAACGCACATTAGATACTACCTCAGCGGCAGTATGGATGTAAAAGATGAAACCGCAGCATTTCTTCACAGCTGAATGTTTCGCTCTGTAATAAATTCATCCACTCCAGTTCTCCAGTGTTGAGTTTACAGTCTGTGGTTTATTCCTTCTAACCTTGATGCATGTTTGTGTTTTCTGTTTTTCTTCTTCTTCTTTTTTTTTTTACAGTCAACTTCGCAGCTTCACGCCTGAATGACGCCCGCTCTGTGAGGTCTCAAGGTAAAAATGTTCCTAACAATTATTTAATTCAGACGTCTCATCTATTGCATGTAGCTTGGATTTGTTTTTAAAACCCTGATGAAACTTTAACAAACAGAATGCGAAAAGTGATCCTATGTGTCTGTTTTTCATCCTATGTTTGTATCTTATTTTAATATAAACCAATTGGTGGATAAAATATTCCAGCTGTTGTCTGAACTGTAACTCAAAACCCTGCACTGCAAAAACTGTCCATCTTACCAAGTTTTAAAATCTTATATCCACACAAAAAGTCTTTTTTTTATCTTGTTTTGAGACTGATTTACTAAACAAGAACTGACTGTGTAAGAATAATCATCTTGTTTTCAGAATATGTAAGATTATTTGTCTCGTTAGTCTGAAAATTTGACTCAAATTAAGTCAAAAATTTCTGCCAGTGGAGTAAAAAAAATTTACTTGGAATTATTCATAAAATACTTGATTTGACTC